ATCAGTGACATAAATTCCCTAATCTCCCAAGCAATTTGAAATTATTAAAAACTGCAATGATTTTATATTAATCCCTCCCCCCGCCCCCACCAGTACTGTGGAAGCTGTATATAGTAATAACCTTAGTTCAACTACTAGAGTTAACTGCAACTGCTTCAGAAAAAAANTCTGCATTTAGTCGGTCAATTCTTTGACATTAAGAACAACTTGGGTTCCAGAATTGCAATTCTGCTCATATATTCACAAGATTGATTTCCTTCTCCATGCTCAATGATGTTGCCAATTGTTCAGAAAAGATGTTGCCAATTGCGTATTTGAATAAGAATTATAATTTCACAATCACAATTGGTTTGGGAAATTCTAAATAACAACATCTGGTACTTGTGACGATCAACTGTGAAATCTAAACAAATACCTTTATGCTTATGAATGTCAAAGGCTGAATTGAGATAACAGTTTCAAAGCATTACTCGTACAGCTACCAAATGTGAAAGGAGCAGAGAGCAGGCAAGATTCTTCTCACGGCGCACAGCAGAGCCAGTGATTGAAAACAACATTAACATGCAGCACGCTGACACTTTCACAAAGTTTTAAAGACATTTAAGCAGAAAGTCATTAGATTCTAACAGGCAGGGCTAGGCCGTGCCTGGCGGGAGCCAGAAGCCCCAACTCTCCTCTGTCTCACTACTGGACAGTCCATTTGGCGTGGCGTAGGTGGATAAGAAGTGAAAGAGACCAACCTTCTCGCTGATCTGAGAGATGAAGGGTTTGATGGTAGAGTGCAATGAGGATGAGGAGGGAATAAAAAGACAAGGAAAAACACAGAGAGAGTAAAAACAGGCCAGGCTTCATCAATCCACACACCACTGAAAAAACAAGACAAGACACCAGCTTGATGACTTTCACGCTGCACACACAATTTGGATGCGCACACATACAACCCCTCTCCCCACACATAAGCTAGACTCCACATACAAGACTGAATGTCCTGTTGAAACAAGGGTTCTGTCACACCTCTCCAAAAAAAACATGGTGCATTCAGACTTTACCACAACTTCACGCTCATCAGAAAATGACCTTTGTGAAATGATTAAAATATCAAAAGAAATCTATTAAACTAGGGCTGAGAAGTGTCACTAAAGGTTGTGGAGATCTTTACAATTGAGGTAAGCATTTAAAAGAGATAACCATTTGAGCAGTGGTTGCAGATGGAATATTACGTTTAGCAAAATATCAACCCTAAACCAAACGAGCACCATTTGGTTTTAGACATTTTAAAAGAGACCTTGTCCCAATTTTATTTCATTATGACCAATTGAATAAATAATGCGTGTTCTAAATGTTTGCAGCAAAAAATAAATTCCGTTCAATTCTAACTGGAATTTCATTACAGGAGAACTAGTCATACATCTAGCTTTACCATATTACTTTATAATGTGTCTGCTTCCCAGCCCTTTCCATATACAAAGCCTGATACACTTAAAAAAAGACACAACATGAAATCAAAATGTAATAAAACGAAGTCCCAGTTAGTCTCTTAATTTTGGTTCTAATGTTTCACAGAATACATAAACATTGTTAACGGCAGGCACATTTGTGACAGGAACACACAGTTGAAATATCCCGTTTCCTCAACCAGGTTACCGTAGTCCTCCTACCAGCTGTCTGCAATAAAAAAAACCTCTACATGAAAATTTGAAAAAAAAGGGTTAGATCATGGATCTGTGAAATATAGATTTATGAGGAAATGACGATGTTATATTAACTGGCAGTAAAACTCATTTGTCAGCATGAAAATCAATGTAATGTGTCACAATACTTTTAGGACTTATCAGCTTAACTAAATCATAATGTACAGGACATTTCCATGACTCAAATAAAGTTAGTTCAGCATTACTAAATTTAAGATCTTACTCATTTTACCAAGGGCTGTGACAAACACCTAGTTTGTCTTTACATCTACTTTCCTTGCTGCTCCCCAAACCTGCTGCTGAATAGAAGTACGTTGAATGGGGAGGTATAATAATAATAATCCTCGCATTTGATATAGCTCCTTATCATGTTGTTGAGACGCATCAAAGCGCTTCACAGAATTGTTAAGTGTAGTAATTGTGTATTTGTTGGGCGAAACGCAGCAATAAATTGCACACAGCGACATCCCTCACAATCGTGGATTGAGTGGCCAATCGACTAACAACCAGGTTCCCACTTATTGCTAAACACAGGCATGTGGAGTAAGGAAACTTGCCTAAGGTTTCAACCTGCCCAGAAATCAAACCCGGGTCCTCTTGCTTGCGCCCTGACCACTATGCTACGGGACTCCACAAAGGTGACACGGATGAAACGGTGAACGTTTTTGTCAATACCATCAATGTTAAATTCCTGATTGACCACTACAAAGCCTGCTTAAATAATCGAGAGAATAGAAATTCATCCTCCCCTCACACCAAAAGCAGGAAAGTTCACAAAGTAAATTGTAATTTAAATTTGTTTTGTGGTCTCTCAATTGGGACAAATGGTCTAGTGGTATAGCTGTTCAGGCAATCATTTTTCAATTTAAATTTACTTATTGAAATGTCTAAGGAGATAAAACAATTATAAAAATGGTCAAATAATTGATCGGAGTATAGATTCAATGCCTGCGTAGTAAACAGTGTACATCATTAAAAGGCAGGTTGCTTAGTTAAGATTATTCATCCATTTTACATGCAGCACTTAACTATCAAAAAAATACCAAATTATGCACTACTGGCTTTATAATAATGCTAAATATAAAGCAGAACTCTGCACAATCTCAGAACCTCCAGGTCAATGGTGTATGAAACAAGATTCGAATAAACTGTTACAATCACTTTGATTATACAGAAAACTGATTCCAGCAAATAATCCGAAAATCGTTAAAATCTGCCCGTTTGTCATCTGATCCTTCTCCCCTTCCCCCAAACACATAGTTGGGAATTGATTATGAATTGCCCATAACACAAGCTTGTTCAATTTCTTTTCTGCTTCAATAGTTTGAAAATTCTTCAAATAACAATCAGAGTTGATGCACAACACATTTTCAAACTAGGATACAACCTGGGATAAGAAAGGGAACTGGATCACATGATTGCCCACGGCATATTTTTCCCACAACATCCTCAAGAGTAAACTACAAGAAAAATCATTCTGGTTTATTGTACTGGCACAGCCCCAACTTCATCCTTTTGGATATAACAAACATTGTTATAAACAATGATTATAAGCAATGATTCTTTTGAGGAGCCAAAGTAAATCCCATGTTGTCCATGACTGTTGGCTCATGGCTAACACAGACCCTCCTGTTTATATTTTTGGGGTTAACTCCAGTTATTTACACCCACTGAAAGGAAGCTGAAAATACCCTCTCAGTGTTTTTAATTAAGATCACAAAAGTAAATACTGTATGTTCACACATACGAGGCCAGGGAGCAGAAAAATACTTGCGGCTGTACTGCTTGACAAATGTTTTGATCAGTCTGCCAATTGTCACAGCAAATAGTCAACCAGTCATCTAATTGCAGCATGTACCCAGGGTTTGCTATCTTGCAGCAATTATTGAATAAATAGTTGATACTGTTTAACACTGTGGTTTTAGAACAGCTATTACACTATAGGTTCACCGTCATTCTTGTTTTTGTGAGCAGACCAGGATTTTAAAAATAGCCGCTCCCTACCTGGAGTTGCCCGAGACTGCTCTCTTTTCATCACGAGGTTGTCCTTCAGCTGCTGTTAGCATGCAGCAACACATGTGATGTGATCACACAAATAACTCAGACATCGTGCTCTTCACACATGCGTGGGACAAGCACAAAATAGCCTGATATTCACCTAGATCTCCTGGCCTCCCACTGATCTAGAAAATATTTCCCACAAGATCTAACGCAAGTGGAAAGCATATAATGTCATCAGGTATTTATGTTACAACATCATAAATTAAGATGCAAAAAAGGTTAAAAAATGGAAATTCCAGGATTTCTAAATATGATAACTGCAGGGGTTCAAAGAGCATAATTTTTTACGCAATACTTCCCTGCCCATAAGCCTCACACAATCAGACTATAAAACCTCCCCATTGCCTGCCTCTCTCACATAACTAACAGTATATTTTTTCTATTGTTACCCCATATTGTTCAAACAGCCTTTCAATTCTCCCCAATGTCAGTAGTCTGTCCAACAGTATATGACTCAATGAAACATAACCACCCCACATACTTTTAACGTATTTAGTTCAGTGCCCTGTTAGCCGAGCTCAGATGGGGGTCAGAACACTAATTAGTAGTTAGTTCCTTGTTAGTCTGGTCTTGCTCTAAGCATATTGATCCGGCAATTCTACTACCTAAAATACCATTCGTTAGTAGACAGTCAGCTGATGTTGTGCGATTTCCAATTTTTACTAAATTCAAAAGCACCGAAGAGCTTCTGCACCCAGGAGTCTGAGACTCCTAACACTGCTGTATTATCAGCATAACCTATGGTAGACAAAGATCATATGCTGATGACGCATCCTTAGCTAGTGACATCTAAATAAGTTTGCGCAGCGAGCAAATAAAACAGACCTGGTTAGAAATGTTCAGTTAGCAGAGCCCACTTAAGAGACAAAATGGCAACACAATTAAAGGAAGATCCATCACCAATACTACAAATATAAACCTAGCATCCTGAGCAAAATGCCCACCCAATTCTTCATTTGACAAAATAAAAAGTTCAGCAGAGAAAAACGTAACAAAAGCAGGCATGTTCAACTACATTTGATTGTTTAGAACATGAAAGACGACGCTTGGCTGAGTTGTATCTGGACACCTGTGCTTTTTAAAAAAAGACATGTAATTGATTGGTCAATTGTCTAAACTTTTAACATTTCTGAATATGACTAAGTAACAAATAAAACGTGCTAACAGAAGTACACAACACAATTTGTTCCAACTATTCTGATAACATGCAGAGACTCAGCAAGCAAGTTAAAGAGACCCATTTCCTACCTCTTACGTACAAGTTGGCCGGAGCAGAGTAACGGGTTCCAGCACTGTTAGTTGCTACACATTCATATTTGCCCTGGTCAGACTCCTCACTGTTCTCAATCTGCAGGGCTCCTGAATAAAAACACATCAATAGCCTTGGTTACAGCATACCTCAGATCAAAACCATTCGCCTAAAGCTGACACAATTCAAAATGTGTGAGACAAAGTGCTAGAACAAAGCAAGGCAGTCCTCGAATTCGTAAAAGTACAGGTTTCATTTTTTTCCTCTCCCAAAATGTGAAAAAATGAAATGGAAATGCAAATATTAAATTCATATTTTATTGCACCCTTGGGCTAAGATCTTTGGTTTCACAACTGCTATTTAACCTACAGTGATTTAAACAAAGCAAATAGTAACGTAAAGCATGCAATTTAGAAAAAAAAACACATCCCCATTAAGATAAATGTTTTCTTGGGGAGAAAAACAAGCCGACCTTGATGGCACTTTATATTCTTCAGTTGCTTTCAGTTTGCTGCAGGATTCGACACTGCTTGAAACATGGTGAAAATTTTCCTATATTTACTCAATATATGCTATGACTAGTGTTCTAACCCTGACTATACTGAACAAACATGTTTTTCAGAATATTGTAGTTGAAAAAATGCTAGAAACAAGCATTTTAACTCTTACCCTGGTATGGTAAATAAACAAGAATTTCAAACAGTGATGTAAAATGGTGTGGTTTGAGCACCTGATTTCTTACCCTGAATAGAATTCTGGTTTTGCACACACTGAGACTAGAATTTCAACGATTCAAAGCTTTGTAATGAATATGCAAAGTCTTAAGTTTCATAGCAAAAGAAATAGCGTGATCTTAACAAAAGCACTGATTGGGGACATCTTCACACTGTTCAGAATCTGGTATAGCTACCCACCCTGTTTCTCATAAGATTTCCTATTCACCTGTGGCTGCTGGACATCTACTTTTACTGGAGATTACAAAATCTATTTGAAAGCAAACTCTAATTGTTTCTGCATGGTAATACATTTGTTTCACTTTAAACAGAAACACTTCACCAGCACACAATAGGTCTAAGGAAATTCTATCACTGACTTGTTTAACAGACTATCCAGTCTCTTCTGAATTTAATTTTAAAAAGCCCAAGAGTATAATAAAGAAAATATCGACTGCTGCGTTTGCAAGTCAGCTGCAACATCATTCCTCAGGGATTGCCCAGGCTTCTAATCCACCAGCACCAGTTTGCTGCAGTTTATTATATTGCAGGTCAACTTTATAACCTATGACAAAAATTCTACTAGCATTGGCAAAAGCAGTCAATATTTTAATAAAGTTTATTATGTTTACACTGACAAAAATAGCTATTTTAACAAACCCTTATAACAATAGGTACAGAAATATCTTATTAACTAGCTATACAGAAAGAATTCTGGGAACCTAGGAAATGCAGAAGATGGCTGTCTGTCTTTCTACAAAGAAGAAACATTGATCAGTTACAATTCAGATGGCAAGTTTTCCTAACAAGGATGTGCATTTCTGCACTGCATGGCTCCCTGTCACTTTATGCAACACGTGCTTGATATCCTGAAGCATTACAAATGTAATACTGGATTTTAAAATGAAGAAATTGTGTGATAAAACAGTGTTACAAAACTGAAATTTATCACACAGTCTATACACCAACACATATTGTATAAAGGTTCAGAAACAGATATAAACATACACTTTCAAATAGGAGAGATAATCTCACTTTCAAAAGTTTAGAAGTGCTCATAGTTCTGCAAAGCTTAACTTTTTTATTTTTTTGTGGAGGTGGGGGGGGACGGACAACCTAAGATTCTATTTAAAATCCTGAAATCTGGTCTCATAATTTGTGCTGCTTGGCAAAAGCATTTTAGCTGATTCGTGTTTTCTTCAAGGAACTGAGAACAATGTGCAAAGAGAAGGAAGCCAAAGTTGAAGTTTTTCCAATATGGTTAATATTGCAGCACATTCAAGTTCCCTTAGTTCAAGCAAAGTGAGGGTAAAGTTTGTTATGCAACTCTATTACTGGACCTTCCATTCATGAAAAACAGAAAATAGTATTCTTGATGCAAACAACTCAACTGAAAGATTGCCAATGTAGGGTTCAGCCTTCACTTTGCTCAGAGACAGGAACTCAATGTGTGATTTTAAAAAAATGCAGTAATCAGGGATTTAGCTCCCACCCTGCGGATGCTTTGTCCCCTACCCTGGCAAAATGTGCAATTTATAAAGATGTAGATTCTGAGCATGTTGGTTTACCAAAATTTCAAGTTTCAGTATATCTGACAAATTGTTTTATAGTCTACAAACCAGGGTCAATGAATCAGTTCAATTGGTCTGTGAAGGCCAACAAAAGGAAAATACAACTTTAAGAGTAAAACAAACCCAAAATACAGTGCATCCGCATGATTACTATGGAAACAGAATGAACTTCTGACAAACTTCCACTTGGATTTGACAAGTCTTACGTTTTTTTGGATCTTGTTCCACGACTCTTCCAGCAGTGTGAATGAGATATGCAAATACACAGTGTAAGGCTCAAAACTTAAAAAAAACATTTTATTTCTTCAGATGGGTGAAATATGTTATCTTGTAGGTCTCAACTGACAGAGGTGCTGACCAATAGAATGCTGACGAAAGGCTCCAGCACAGAATACACAACTTTAAAAAAAATGTGGGTATTTCAAACGGACAGAAATTTACAGGTCAGAACCAGACTACGCAAAGCGTAGCAATTAATCATTTTATTTTTACGTTGAAGACAGTTTTTCCATTTAAGATGGAAAGTTTTTTTTTAAATACACTGTTGGATCAGTTAAAAGGCTTTTGAACCTATCAGAAGCCGCAGTATCCCTAAGTGGTGTCCTTCAGAAGTTGCACCCAGGGAACCCCTCCCAGCAGAAACCGAGACCTAATCTGAATTGGAGCACTAATGTATATCCAAAGTGCATCATTCATTTGTTAAAGGTTGCATTAGACTTCGGATTTAGTTTTCGCCAGGCTTTATTGCCAAGACCTCTTCTGCAACACCTGTTCTGTAGTAGAACATATTCATAGACTACTTTCTTGTATATATCATTTTTAAAAATAAGTTCTTCATATGGAGTGTAGCTCGAGAGCAAAAAGTAGAAATATTAATATTTGCATTTGATATAGCACCTAATCATGGCTTTTGAGACGTCTCAAAGCGCTTCTTAGAATATACTTTAAAGGGAATTGACTGTATATTTTGTGGGTGAAATGCGGCAGCCAATTGCCACACAGCAGTGTTCCACAAACAGTTGTGAATTGAGTGACCAAATTCTGATTATTTTAATTTTTTAAAAAAATGCTTTTAAAGGATTATTACTCTCGGAAAAGTGATCCGCCAATTGATGGGGTTCCTACTTACTGCTGGGTAAACAGAGTCATTTGGAGTAACAAACTTGCCTAAGGTTTTGCCTTGTCCAGAAATTGAACCCAGATCATCTCGCTTGCAAGACAAGTGCTCTAAAGTGCTTTCGAATTCAAGATCCTCATTCTCACCTCCAAGGCCATTCACGGCCTTGCACTCTCCTACCTCTCCGACCTACTATCCCCCTACCTACCTGCCCGTACCCTCCATTCCTCTGGCTCCGGTCTGCTCCACATCCCCCGCCCCAACCGCCCTACCACCGGTGGCCGGGCCTTCAGCCTCTCAGCCCCGAGGCTCTGGAACTCCATCCCCCAGTGCCTTCGCCGCCTCCTCCCTTTCCTCCTTCAAGGCCGGTCTCAAGACCTTTCTCTTTGACCTTCAGCCTTCAGCTCCCTTCTCGACTCTCTACCCCCTCCTCACTCCCTCACTTCCCTCCCCTCACCCTGACCATCTCCCCCCTGCTCGGGTCCTGGCCCAACTGTACAGCGCCTTGGGACATCCTCCCGACGTGAAAGGCGCTCAATAAATGGAATCTTGTTGTTGTTGTAAACACTAAGCTATAGGATTCTTTAATGATCAGTTCTCCTTAATCCACCATTTTATGCTCGGCAAAAAGAATGAAATGAAGCAATTTCCACTTTTGACGCCCAGTTTTAGTTGCAATCAACCCTTAAGATGAAAATTGGATGAGGTTAAAACATCTTCTACTGTACCTAATGCTCTTCATATTTCCCATGTAATCAGAAATTGCTAATGCAAGTATTTTTGGATTGCAAAAGTGGCAGCTATAAAATGTGGGGAGATTACTCAAACTCAGTTCATTTTTACAACTTATCAGAGAAGACATTTATCACATCAGCTTTAGGTGGACTGAAAATCAAGTCCCGAAGGTGAAAGAACTCATGCCAGCTGGCTGTACCCTCATCTCAAGTTCCTTCTTTTGAACATGCATTGGACAATTCAATTTTATATCCCATAATTTATTAACTTTGGTGCTTTCATCTCTTTTTTGGTGGAAGTTGGGTAATGAAATTTACGAGTGGGAGTAACGTATACCATAATAAAAATGAAGTGACCTGTATATCAATCCCATATCCAGGTATTAAAAATATTATTAACTACAAATTATTTTTCCATAAAAAAGGAGTGTTTGAAACTTTTAGCCTTGGGCAGAACAAGACCAGTAATAGGTGGCTCATTAAGAGTAACATTCACAACCGTTTTAGTATTTGTAGACTAACCAAAGTCTCACATGAGTGCATCAATAGGTGTATATAATTTAGTTCCAGTTGGCAGGGGGCATATGGCACGGGGAGAAAGGGAAATATCCCCTGGTAACCAAATACCTTCAGAGAAGAGTATGTTTAGTCCAAATGGTAAGGTTTGATCTACATTTTGGGGCTATCTCCATATACACTCTGCACAGGATTACCACACAAGGATACTGCAAGTTATAAACAAGAAAATCACTGTCTCTCAGACACATTAAAAAAACAAATCAAGAACCAAGTTCTGTCATTAAACATTCTTTGATCCTTAATTTATTTTTTATTGTTAATTTTATAATTGTGCTTAGATTTGCAAAAGCTCAATTGAACAGCATAAACGCAGGCTAGGGACATTACTATGACATTTCTATCAATATGGATGCAATTTTAAAATTATTTTTGCTCAGTTTAATAAAGACAAATAAG